GATAAACCAGTTAGACAGGTTCCCTGTTCTCAAGGATCTTACTTTCTAGTAGGGGAGTATTCCTGGCGATGTGATAAGGAGGCACCAGGTCTGGGAGGAGTGCCACATGGACTAGGCATGTGAGGGAAGCTTTTCTGAATAGGGGCCTGTGGGACCCAGAGGATGAGGAGGAGCCAGCCACCAACCAGGCTGGGGAAGAGCACCCTAGGCAGAGGGCACAGCAAGGGCAAAGCCCCAGGGCAGGAATAGCGTGGTGTGTTTGAGGAACAGAAAGGGTCTAGTGCCAAGAGGGGTGAGAGTGAGAGGAGATGGTAGGCCCCTGTCGGCCGTGGTGAGGAGCTGGGGCTGAAATAGGACACACTGGAGATGCTAAAGTGAGAAAGGGATGGGACCTAATTTATGGTTGGTTTTCTCTTATTGTTTTTTACTTATTGACTTTAGAGAGAAAGAGGAAGGGGGAGAGAGAAACAAAAAGAGAGAGAGAAACATCCATTTGTTGTTCCATTTAATTATGCATTCATTGGTTGAGTCCTCTATATGCCCTGACCAGGGATAGAACCTGAAACCTTGTTATATCAGGTCAATGCTCTAACCAAGTGAGCTACCCAGACAGCCAGGCCCCTGATTTATGTTTTAAAAGCATTGCTCTGGCTGCTGTGTCACAGAATGGATTGCAAGGAGCCAGGGTGGAAGCGAGTCTCTGAGATGGCCACACCCATCCTACCAGATGTTAGAAAGCACAGAGGAGCCTGGGAACCCAGGTCCTCATCCCACCTGCCCAGTGCAATCACCTGGGGGCACTGTTAACAAAATTCCAAGGATCCACAGCCACCACAACAGGCCAAGAGAATCAGAATCTCATAGATGGGGGCCAGGCTAATGGGATTTTTTACAAAACTCCCCAAGATCCTGTATATGAATTCAGAATTGAGAATCAATGTGTCTGGGTAAACTCTCCAGGGCCCAAGCTCTCACTGCTGCCCCAGACACCGTTCCCGGGTCCGACATCCTGTTATTATAGCGCCCTTTTTCAAGGTGAGCTGAAATCAGCCTCTGGTTAGCTTTCCTGGACACCTACTTAAAGGAGCCAACCAGCAGCTCTCTTTTTCCTGCTAACGTTACCCTCCCTTTACTCCATCACCACTCCCAAGGCAAATCCCAATAAAGAGGAGTGAAGGAACCCAGAAATAGGAACCCTGGATAGGAAAGGAATGGTCAGGCTTCTGGGAATCCCCCCTCTCCCCCGCTCTCCTGTGGTTGCCATCTAAAAGGCTCTGGCACCCAGGGGCAATGCATGTGCTGCTCAGAGTCGGCAAGAAGTTCCCAGGAGATGAACTGACGGATGACTGTCCTCCCCCACCCATTCCACACGGAGAATTCGAAAACTGGAAGAAGCTTTAGCATAAGTAGTTTAATTCTAATTTAACCATGGGTTGGCAGGGGAGGGAGCCAGCCCTAAATATAGTCAATCTTGTATTTCTAAGGTATTCCTAGAAGCTTGAGAGCGGGTAAGAGAACTTACCACCCACTTTCTGGCAGGCTCCGTGTTCTTTAATTTGCAGTCCTCACAAAAGCTCCAAAAAACAAATGTTATTTTCATTGAGGGATTAGGCAACTGAGTTTCAAAGAGGTAAAGTAACTTAACCGAGGTCCTGCTGAGGCCCCATGAAGACTGTGTTGTCCTCGCACTAAAGCTGTGTCCTCTTGGTATACTTTCCTAGAATCTTCCTTCAGTGGAGGGATGGTCAGCACCTCACTTAACTCTTGTCACCTCATTTGAGGTCAGGAGGGTACCTGAGCCAGTTCTTGAATTTTCGCTACTCCTTACGCATCGTTTTGTCTCCCTCATGCCCCCAAGTGCCCTCTCCCAGTGTCCAGCCCTTCTGGCTCCTCTCTCCTCTTCCTCCCCCATGTTTCCTACAATCCCAAGCCAGAGCACAAAGCAGCCCTAAAGTGTTAAGAAAAAATCAAACATGGAGGTTGAAAGGTTGTCCTTTTTACTTGCACGTTTTGTCTTTAAATAATGTTTTTATTGCTTTTAGAGAAAGGGGAAGGGAAAGAGAAACATTGATCGGGGTCCTGACTGGGAATCAAACCACAAATCTTTCAGTGCACAGGACAACACCAAACCAACCAACCAACCAACCAACCAACCGAGCCACAGCAACCGGGCATTACTCACATATTTTGATGAAGGGGTGTAGGGAGGGAACTGTTTTTACCCCTGCTGATTTTACTTTGCCTGGGTTGCTGTGATTTTGCATACTGACTCCTCAAGAGCGAGAATTTCCAACTACTCCAGGCCTCCAGTGATCTCTCTTTTTTAGGCTGTGTCTACAGAATTAGCACTTGTCTAGGAAATCAACGTATCATGTAACAGTCTCTTGCTGTGGCATGTGGACTTGTCATGACTTACCATGGTCACCACCCCACATTTGTGTTCCTCAACACCCTGACTTGCTGACCCTGTCATACTCAGGGACCACTCAATTTTTATTTGAAAGGTGGCACCACACCTACTTCTAGACTCCAAAAGAGTAGGGAATAGAGAATAAGCCATTCTTTATGGCATTTTGCTTTCAAGGCAAAATTCAGTCCCTGGAGGAAGCCACTCCTGTAACCACATTACTCTTCCACCTGAAGGAAGCCTCTTCCAGCTTCCTTCTCTGTCCTCCCTCCTCTCCCCCAAGAACTCACCTGCTCTATCAGACCCTCTTAGGATCTTATCTAATTCTCACAACAAGCGAGGCAGCATTATTCTCATTTTATAGCTACTGAAACTCAGGATCAGAGAAGGTAACTTGCTCCAAGACACAGACAGTTAGTAAGGAGCAGGTGTGCAGGGCCACGAAGCATCAGGACATCTGACACATTTCTGTGCTTCAGCTCCACCAGGGTCAAGGTTCCTCAAGGTGGAGCCAGCTTTGGGTTCCCCATGGGTCTTAGTCTCTGGCAGGGGCACAGTGAGTGTTAGCTCAGTAAATTGTCAGAGGAAGTTTACCCTGATTACCTATTGTGTGAGAACTAGTACTGGGGAAAAGAGGAAGTGTTTGTGCAGTGATAAGGCTTGTGTGCGTGGTGGTGGTCCCATGCTCTGGGCCAGGACGGGAGGGTGGACAGCAGAATGGCACAGGGTGAGAGGTCCCACCCTGACACGGGCTGAGGGAAGGGTAGGAGTGGCCAGAGACCTGGGATTTAGGGAGGATGGGGACAGCATCTAAGGGTTGACTGGTTGTTGGCTTCTCTGGCCTCCAGGCTGACAGGGGTCCCTGCCTGAAAGAGCTACAGACCTGAAGGGAGAGGAAGGCAGGTTCTCCATGGACACAAGGGTCACCTGGGTTGTAGGAGAGAGCCACCAGAGTGGCTGTGCGAGAGGCGGAGATTAGTTTTGGGAGACCCTGGGGGCAGGTGTAGGATTTGAAGGCGCTCCCAAGGAAGATGGAAGAGAAATGAAGTTTTGATTCAACATCTCTAAAGAAAAAAAAGGACATCTCCTTGGAGGGCCCCAGACTAAGAAGGCAAAGCACAGGGAAGCATGGTTTGAAAGGTTCAGGAAAGATGGAACTTGACATGGGAAGCTGTGCAGGGAGGTTTAGAAAGTTGGTTCAGGGATGGCTTAGCCTGATAAGGGTACATGGAATGCCTTCGGGGGGTGAGAGTGGAAGTACAGGGTAGCAGAGATAGCAGGGACCCAAACCGATACTTCACATCCTCCACCTTACCTTTAAAAAAAAATTTTTTTTAATTGATTTTTTTACAGAGAGAAAGGGAGAAGGATAGTTAGAAACATCAATGAGAGAGAACCATTGATTAGCTGCCTCCTGCATACCTTCTACTGGGGATGTGCCCGCAACCAAGGTACATGTGCTTGACTGGAATCGAACCTGGGTCCTTTTAGTCTGCAGGCCGATGCTCTATCCACTGAGCCAAACCTGTTAGGGCCCCCCACCTCACCTTTCACTGCCTGAAGGACTTGGGGCAAGTTACTTAACCTGTCTGACCCTCAGTTTCCTTGTTCATAAAGCGGGAGATCATAATATCATCTGCCTTATATAATTGTTATGAGGGCAAATGAGATAAAGCACATACTTAGCACAGTAGTCAGACATAGTAACAACTGATGATGATGGAAAGATCAAGATATGTTCCTGGGAGGGAAGTTTCCAGGAATATAGAGAAAAAAATAAGCAACTGCCAATCTGTTCTATTTCATAAGTTCAGCTTAAATGTACTGATTTGCATTCCTATTTCTCCTGCCAGATCCTATTCTCAGAGTTTTATGTTTTATTTCTTTTAATTCTAACTATAACTTCATGAGGCAGGCACTATAATTATTCTCATTTACACAAGAACACAGAGGCACAGAGAGTGTATATGATAGCCTGGAGTCACAGTTACTCAGGCATTCTGACTCCAGGGCCACATACTTACTACATGCTGCCTCTCATCCGTTAAATACACACAAGACATCTTGAGGTACATCAGAGAACTGGGCTCACAGCATGGCACGGGGTTTCCCAAACCTCTGGTGCATCAGAATGTCCCAGGGAGATGATCTAAAATGCATGCTCCAGCCCTGACTGGTTTTCCTCAGTGGACAGAGCGTTGGTCTGCGGACTGAAGGGTCCCTGGTTTGATTCCGGTCAAGGGCATGTACCTTGGTTATGGGCACATTCCCAGTAGGGAGTATGCAGGAGGCAGCTAATTGATGTTTTTCTTTCATCGATATTTCTAACTCTCTATCCTACTCCCTACCTATAAAAAAATCAATAAAATATATTTTAAAAAATAATAAATAAATAAATAAATAAATAAATAAATAAATAAAATGCATGCTCTAAGGCCCCTCTCCCAGGAAGCCTGATCCTGGCAGCAGTGACAGCAGTAGGGGCTGCAGCAAGGACAGAAATTGGTTGTCTGTTTCTTTCTTTCTTTTTCTTTGACTGATGGTGCCTCAGGTTTATTTGTACAAACAGCACAGAAGGACACCAGCCCAGGGTTCACACCAGTTCTGTCCTCACATCATCAGACAGAGGCCTCTCTTCTGGAGCCTTCGAAGGGGTCTGGGCACCTTTGGGAGCCTGATCCTGAGCTGGAGTCAGAGCTGTAGATACAGCCACAGCTGCAGTCTGGATCTGGTTTGAGCCTTGGACTTTGGCTGGCAGAGCCTGAGACCCTTTGATGTGGGCACAAACACTTTTCCCAAGCGTGGGGTGAGAGATGTGAGCAACTTGATTGAACTTGTGACTGCTGTTCTTTGGGATCCCGGGCTTGACCTCCTTGGGCTTGACTAGGGCCTTGATAGCCTCGGCACATGCACTCATGGCCTTGGCATTGTTGGCCTGCTCCTTCTTCAGGCCCTTCTTGTTTGCTTCTTGTGGGTTTGCCATGAAGCCCTAGCTATTATAATATCTGTAATGATGAGGTCCATTCCCTTAAGAGATTCATATCTTTGTGACTGGGGTTTCTTGTTGCTCTTCCTGCATCATTTTCAGGACTGGGTGTATGTGGTGTGGTTTTTGGACTTGGCCATGTCTGCACTGAAGCCCATGGCTCCAGAAGGGCCTCAGAAGTTTATATTTTTAACAAGATCTTTAGGGGATTCTGATATAGGTGATCTAGAAGTAAGGGAGGCGGGGGTGGCATATGGAAAGTTCAGGAATAACTAGATGGCCCAGTGGAGATATCTAGGCAATGTGAAGTTTCTTAGATAATGGGTGGCATTTGACTTGGGGTTTAAGGATGGATAGAATTTTGGATACATCCCTCTACCCTTCTCTATTTGGAGGTTGTATTGGGTTGAACTGTGTCTTCACAGAAGATTGGTAGAAATCCTAACCCTTGGAACCTGTGAATGTGACCTTATTTGGGGGGAAAAATGTAAATTAAGGGTTTTGTGATGAGATCATCCTAGATTATCTGGATGGAACCTAAATCCAAAGACAAGTGTCCTTACAAGAGAAAATGAGAGACAGAGAGAACAGAAGTCTACTTAAGGACAGAGGCAAAATTTGGTGCTATGCAGCCACAAGCCAAGGAGTACCTGTAGCCAACAGAATCTGGAAGAGGCAAGGATATCTTCTCCTCTAGAGCTTTGGATAAAGCACGTCCCTGCTGGCACCTTGATTTTAGAATTCTGGCTTCCAGACTGGCAAAATATATCTGTTGTTTTAAGCTACTAAGTTCATGCTAGCTTATAAAGGCAGCACTACGAAATTAATACAGAGGCTTTCGTCCTAGTCACACTGTTTGTCCTGGGAAGGTCTTTGCAATTAGACACAGAGTTGTGGGGGTCAGTCTGCAGACAGCTCAGCTATGACTGCCAAGTCCCCGGCCAGGACAGCAGACCTTAAAGGCGGAGGCGGAGCACAGCTGGTAATGATGTAGTGGCATCACCTTTGCAAGCTTGCGACTTCTCTTTGGATGTAGGCTTGTAAGAAGTCAAAGAAAGGCTGTCTTTAGTTGTTGGGTTTGTATTTTACAAAGAAGATGTCAATACCTAGAAAGTATAATTTCCAGCTCAAAGTGACCCAGTAAGTTGGCAGCAGGGCAGAGCCAGGACCGCTGTCTAGAGCATTGGAATGCCAGTCCATGGCTCTCAGTGTGGGTTTGCCATGAAGCCCTGGCTATTATAATATTTATAATGCTGTCACTATAATTTCATTCCAAAGAGTCGATTGTCTCTAATGACTGCTTGGTGGGCCAGTATTTCTGGTCCCTGGCCAACATGTGTGGGTAGTGGCTTTTGACATCTGGCTTAGAGTTTCTGATGATTCCCTTCCCCATAAGCTGTGTCTTCTGCTTTAGGGATGCAAGTTGATCTATCTTCGGAAGCTGCTCTCCAAAATGCAGAAGTTGGCCATCTGTAGAACTGACAGCACTGCTTGTGGTCTATGAAACACCAAAATCTTAGAGAAGTACCTCTTTAGAAAGCTTATTAATACTTCCTCTGTCCATGTGCCACAATGACTTTCTGCAAAGGACAAGAAAAGGCTCCCTCATGTGCCTGCGGAGAGAGCGCCCTCCTCATCTGAAGCCCTTGCTTCCCATTCCTCCCTCTTGGCTAACACTGGAGCCGAGAACACAGCCAGCAGAGGAATAAACCTTGTCCCTAAGCTGCTGTTCCAAGTGCTTTAGTTACCAGAGGACTAATTTCATGTCAGGTTCTAGAAGAAAGGGCAACAGAGTTTCAGCAGGAGAAACAGGAATGTAAATCAAACTGAGAACAATCTATTGAGCACATGCCACTTAAAATGCATTGAAGGGCTCAGTGCTAAAACAGGAGTGGGCAAGGGTTAGGTTGGAGTATTCATGTTTAATCCTAGACGCATATTGGATCACAGGAAATATTTAAAAAACCCTGATGCTATGGTTGTACCCCATACCATTTTTATCAGAAAGTCTCGGGGACACCTGTACTTTTTTTAATGATCCCCAGATGATTCCAATGTGCAGCAAAGTTAGGGAACCACTGAAATATGATATTCCCATGGGCCATATCCAGATATGCTATTTTCAGTGCTCTGGGTTGGATCCTAAAGCATGGGCAATTTTTAAAGGCTGCTCAGAGGATTCTAGTGTGCAGAGGTGATCCATGTAGCTAATAAAGGGAAAAACATACAGCATCATCAAGGTGTCTGCAGCTAGTGCTCTTTCCATCTGCATAGTCCATATCTCCCACAAGACAGAGCTTTTGTTGAAGGAGAATGGGTTTTGGTGAATCTCAGATACTGCTTAATGGTCTATCAAGGAATAAAAGCATTGGAAAGGAAACCCAAAACTTTCTTAGAACTAGGAGCAAAGGCTGACAAGAGTATAGTTTTCTGCTATAGCAAACTTTAGAGTCTCCAAGCACTTTTGAAAGAATTTCAAACTCTATGAGGATCTATATGTGTATACTCTTCAGGCATGGCTGAGTCCAGGTGTGAAGTGCAATACATGCTTGAGGGTAGGTGCCATTTGACTCTCTATTAACTCTCCTTTGGAAGGCCTCAACTCAGGGGCTACTTCACAAAGTACTAGACAATTTTCCCATTTCTTCCCTACCCGACCCTTCTCCCTTCTCCCCTGGAGTCCCATCTTTGCAACTCTTCTTTTTTGTCCTGTGGTTCCTCCACTTCAATTAGTCCAGGGGATTCCTCCCCCCATCTCATTTCTGCCTTGGAATTTTGCCTTCCTGAACTTGCTCTCTCTGCACTGGGCTCTGGGGCTGGTGTTCTCCACAAGCAAACCCTGCTTATGAGGCAGAAGAGATGCCTCCCTTCTCATCCTGTCCTTTCCAACTTGGTTTTGCTCTCAAAGCCTGTGGGTATTGGTGATGATTCAGATGTTTTCCCAAACTGATTCTTCTGGGACCCATTTTGTATCTTTTGCTTGCATCATCTCTAAAGTTGTTCCTAGTGAAATTTTTGTTAAATCCAGATTCCTCAGCTCACATACATCATGAGAATAACTTGGGTGCTGGCAGTCAGGATTTACAGGCTATAGAATATAAGGCCGGGTCTTGATAGTTTATCTTGGCGACACTGATGAAGGACATTAATTGTCATGGAGAGTTAGTACTGGGGTTCATGTTTCCCACCCAGGAAGACAAAAATTTAGCACTATGGAAATCTGGAGAGAATGATAAATCTTGTTTTTTTCAAAGAAAGTGAATTCAGGGGAGATATTGGTAGATGCTACAAGTTTTATATTATCAACAACTTCATAAATGTTCTAAAAGACTTATATTCACTAAAATCCAAAAAAAGCTGAATTATAAATGTGAATGAGGGTAGAAAACATTGCCCTGAAATATCAAAGTTCTTAGTAGAGTAGGAACTAAATAATAAGTATCATGTTTTATCAAATGTAATGACAATTATGTCTGAAAACTAGTCTGCAGTTAAGAGCTCTCATTTCTATGCTGAGCTCTAACCCTGACTCATAGTATGGATTGAGCTAAGTCACTTGACAGCTTTGGATCTCAGCTTCTCCACGTGAAAAATGGCAATTAAAATACTAGATAAAGGAACTAGCATTTATTGATCAACTGCTCTCTGTTGATGTACTAAGTTGTATCATTTCATTTATTCACTCGGCAAATATTTTTTGAATGTCCACTACAGATTGTGTCTGGTTTCAGGGATCTATCAGGCACAAAACAAAGACCTTGCTCCCTTGGAGATTAAATTCCAGTGGGGCTGGGTGGTAATAAACAAGAAAATAAATAACAAGATACTCTCAAATAGTGACCAGTGCTATTTAGATAATAAAACCGGATCATGAGATAGAAGGTAACCTGAGGACAGGCTTACTTACACAGGGTGGGCTCTCGCAGAGGCAATGTTGGGAGTTGGAGCCAGAACGAGGAAGAGCAGCCTGCAGAGTCCAGAGTCCATGGGACAAGATCTGGGCAAGAGAACTCCAAGTAGACAGTAAGTGCAAAGGCGCTGATGCATGTAGACATTTAATCTGCTTGGGAAGCCTGGAGATTGAACGTGTGGGTGTGCTGGGAGGAAGTGGTCACTGAGATTAGGGCAGGAGCCAGACCACTGTTGCCTTTTGGACTGTGGTAAGGTATTTGGGCTTAATTTTAATTGTTCTGATATCCTTTTTTTGTTTTGTTAATCCTCACCTGAGGATCCTTTTCCATTGATTTTTAGAGAGAGTGGGAGGGAGGGGGAGAGAAAGAGATAGAAACATCAACATGAGAGACACATTGATTGGTTGCCTCTCACACACTCCCTGACCAGGGCCAGGATTGAACCTGCAACTGAGGTATGTGCCCAACTGGAATCAAACCCGGGACCTTCAGTCCACAAGTCAACACTCTAACCACTGAGCCAAAACTGCTAGGGCCTACTTAAAAAATATATACAGCCCTAACTGGTTTGGCTCAGTGGATAGAGCGATGGCCTGCGAACTGAAGGGTCCAAGGTTCAATTCTGGTGAAGGGCATGTACCTTGTTTGCAGGCACATCCCCAGTAGGGGGTGTGCAGGAGGCAGCCAACCGATGTTTCTCTCTCATCAATGTTCCCTCTCCTTTCCTCTCTGTAAAAAATCGATAAAATATATTTTAAAAAATAAAATAACAAAAATAAAAAACATATACAGCCAAGGTATATTAAGGAACATGATTACAGGGAAGTTGCCTAGGAGAGAGAAGCAAACTTTTTGGGAAAGGATCAGATAAATATCTCAGGTTTGGTGGGCCACATAAACTCTCTAAGGTACATCCTTCTCCTCTCCTCTGTCTGGCACCTCCTCCTCCTTCTTTTTAACCCTTTAAAAATGTAAAAATCCTTCTTAGTTCTTGGGCGATATAAAAACAGGTGGCTGCATGCTGGGTTTGGTCTGCCTCTCTGGGCAGTAGTTTGCCGACCCCTAGTTCAGAGAAAAGCAGAACTCATTGCCATAAATTTAGGACACAGAATGTGTAGGATGTGCTGATGAACTGGCCCTGTGTGGGGAAGGGGTAAGAGAAAGAGGAAACAAGGATGGCCTCAGTGAAGAAGTAGAAGGTGGTGTAATTTACTGAGATGAGGAAGAAGCAGATTTGGGATGGGGGGGAGGGGAAATTAAGGGTTATGTATGAGTTGCCAATTAGTCATCCAAGTGGAGTTGTCAAATATGGAGCCTGATACGGACTCTGGAGTTTAGGGAAGAGGGCAAAGATGGAGATTCACATTTGGGAGTTATCGCCTATGGATGAATTTAAAGTCATGGGACTGGCCTAGCAGGTGCGGCTTAATGGTTGAGCGCTGACCTATGAACCAGGGGGTTACGGTTTGATTCCTGGTCAGGGCACATACTTAGGTTTCAGGCTCAATCCTGTGTGCAGGAAGCAGCCAATCAACAATTCTCTCTCATCATTGATGTTTCTGTCTCTCTTCCTATCCCTTCCTCTCTGAAATCAATAAAAATACATTTTTTTATTTTTTTTTAAGTCATGGGAATGGATGAGATCACCCAGAGTGCCGTGCCAAGGGGGTTCTGGAATTTAAGGACCCATAAAAGAGGTCCTTGGAATCACTCTCTGGGTCAAAAGTATGACACATGACAAAACTGCCCAAATGCTGCCCATCTTGTATAAGCTACTTAAATACATGCTGTGAGTGGGACTGTACACACGGATGAGCAGGGACACCAGAATTAGGAATCCTTGACCATTTTTGCCTTGGAGCTGGTGAGCATCAAGCCACAGTGGAGGATTAGGCTGGTTAAAGGAGGTGTTGAGAGGGAGGAAGCGCTTCCAAGGATTCAAAACCACAGAAGCACCCAGCAAGCTTATTACAAATGCAGATTTTTAATAAGAGCTTTGAATTCTGGGGTGAGGTGTGTTTTAAAAATGCTCCCTCTCATACAAACAGAAGGTTGAGAAATGGGTGGATTAGGGATAGATTGGGTGGAGGGTGTGTCTTCATGACGTTTCCTTACTCCCAGAGACTCACAGCTTCAGGAATCTTAGATGGGTCTGGCTGGGGAAGTTTCAGGATAAGGGGATGGCAGAAAACTCCTAGGCCAGGAAGAAATGTGTTGGGACACTTTCCATTTGCTCTACAATTCAGAATGAGGCCGTTTCTCCACAGTGATGTAAAATGGTACATTTTTCTTTTTTTTACTTCTTTTAATATATTTTATTGATTTTGTACAGAGAGGAATGGAGAGAGATAGTTAGAAACATCGATGAGACAGAAACATCGATCAGCTGCCTCTTGCACACCTCCCACTGGGGATGTGCCCACAACCAAGGTACATGCCCTTGACTGGAATCGAACCCGAGACCCTTCAGTCCCCAAGCCGATGCTCTATCCATTGAGCCAAATCGGTCTCGGCTAAAATGGTACATTTTTCATGCTAAAACTTGGGTTCCCTAGGAGTATCTACTTAGCCTTGTAGTTCCACAGCATAGAAGGGAGATTTTTTTTCTTCTATCTTTATATGAAAACAAGAACACATTTTTCAATTCAAATACAAGATATGCGTGTTGTTGATGAAACTGAAACCTCACTTTATATACATTATGGATTTGTGTGAAAACAGCTAAGGAATAACGTAACGAATTTGCTATTAGGCCTTCTGCTAGGAGCTAAGGAATCAACCTTGCATTCATTGAACTACTGTTTAATTTGTCTTCTAAATGCCAATCACTGTTTTAGACTCAGAAGGTAAAGCAATGAACAAAATAAATAAAAATCCCTGCCCATCACAAAACAGATAATCTAGCTAGGAAACAGATTCATAAACATGATATGTAAAATGTATATTATATTATATTATATTATATTATATTATATTATATTATATTATGGTGAGTGCTAAGAAGAAAAATATAAATGAGGGGAAAGGGTAGGAAAGAGTTAGGGACTGAGATAAGTGAGAATATGAGACAAAAAAGGGATTTGAGTCCTGTGATTTAGGAAAGTAACAGTTTCTCCAAGTCTCAATTCCTTCATCTGTTAAATAATAAATAATAGTGCCTTCCTGAGGAAGGCTCAGGCCCTTAGACTGACTTCATCACTTTCAAACTTTGAGCCTCTCAGAATTTCTTTGGCTTCTCTGAACCTGTTTTCTTATCTCTGACATGAACAGACTTGTCCAGTCTATGTCACATGGTTTTCGAAAATATCAAATGAGATCTGTGAAAACAGCTAAAAATATAGATGTTATCTAAATGTAAGATAGAAATTTAAAGAAAAAAAACCACACAGCTAGTTTATGGACTGCAAATCTCTTGCTGATGGTCAGCAGAGTCTCAGGACTGATTATAAACAACGAATTACATAAACTGCTTGGTACAGATTCCGTACACTGCAGGGAAAAGGCCAACAAAAATTATCAGGACATACCAGTAGACTAGCAATCTTATCTTCGATCAGGAATAAAATAAACTAAATGTTCCTAAGTGGACACCTCATAAAATAGTTGTAGTATGTTATTTGTCAAATTTTTAAATGCTTTATTGCTCCTTTATGTTTGTTCTTGTTTTGTTTGTGGGACTTAAGTTCCAGGAAAAGAATTATATGGATTGCAAGCAGTTATAAACAAAGAGCAATCATTTAAATCACCAAGAGCAGATAGTCCATACTCTGAGTATTTCTGTAGAGGCTCCGTAGACATTAAACAAAGTAGATGATTTCAAAATAGGCTGGTGTGTATTCCTTTTCCATCTTTATATTTTCTTCAGTCCCGAATATCTGATAGCATCCCAACAGTGGTTTTTGTTCAATCAAAACACATATTGGTGCTCAGTAAGTATTTGTTAAGCAAAAGCATGACTACTGTGTCAGTTTGCTTACTAAAGACTAGCCAATTGGATCCCTAAAAATGTTTGTGCATTTAAAACACACACATACTTGCCTTCTCTTGGCAATGCTCCTCTGGGAAACCGAATTGGGTCCTTCTCTGAGACTGGATGAAAAGAGTGTTTTATTCTATTGAAATGCAAAACCCAAAGTTAGTTTGAACACTACCTAATCTATCTAGTAGGCGCTCAATGTTTGCTAAACAAGATGCACATTCAGAAAGCAGATACTGCAGCCCAACGATCCCACTCAGGAGGAGCCTGAACTGGCCCCCTGTCCAGTTCGCATCTACCAGGTGACCTCCAGACCTTCTCTGAGCACCGGCCCCCGCTCAGCCTCCGGAGTTTTCCTCTCCGGCCGTCAAGGTCCCCGCTGTCATTCCGGCGGCTTTGCACTGAGGCTGCGCATGCTCCGCCTCCGCCCCGCGCGCCCCGCTGGCAGCCCGACCGGCACAGCGAAGGGCCTTGTGGCCGTTTCCTATTGGGGCTTGGTTGCTATGGTATCACACCCGCCCTAAACCTTGAGGCACTGCTTCCGCAAGGCGAAGGAGAATTACTTCCGGGTCTGCCCTTACTTGGTATGGCTGACTGACCAGTCGCTGAACTCCACAAAAATAAGTTTCCCGGAAATTTTCTAGAAATTTTTATTTAATCACTCTAACTTGCTGGTGCGGCGTGGTATCGTATCTTTTTCCCCTCCTTGTATAAGATTTACTATGTGTTTTTTGTCTACTTGCCAGTCTCCAAAATGGCGCCTGCGCCGCCGGTAGGCCAAAGGTGAGTCACGTGGGCCCTCCGGTTCCGCCGCGGCCGAGGCCCGGGTGTTCACAGACTCCGGCACCATGTCTCGTTTGTCTGGCCTACACGTCCCGCGTGGCCCTTGCCAGTTCGCGTTGCTGCTGTTACCTCTCCTGCTCGGCCCCAGTTCGGTTCTCGCCATCTCCTTCCACCTGCCCATCAACTCCCGCAAGTGCCTCCGCGAGGAGATCCACAAGGACCTGCTGGTGACCGGCGCCTACGAGATCACCGACCAATCTGGGGGCGCGGGCGGCCTGCGCACCCACCTCAAGGTGCGGCCCGGGGCGGGGCGGGACGGGAAAGGACGGAGGACCTCAAGCGTGGGCGCGGAGAGGCCGCGGATGGGGGTGGGGAGGGGGGTGTCGGGCCCGGCCTCCCCGGGGCGCCGAGGGCGGGCGGAGGAGACCGCCCCCTCGCCCTGAGGGTTGGCGTTGGCGGAGGGCTGGGCGCCCGTGCAGGGGGAACCCGGAGAAGGGCGCGAGGCCTTGTTGGCGGATGTGGTGACAGCCGAGCTGGGGCGACCTCCGCTTTGGTCGTTGGCGGGACCCGTGTCTGTTTTGGTCTTAGGTGCCTTGAGCTGGAACTTGATTCTCCAAAGACGTCCTCAGATGGTGCATACTTGTGGGGGTTGACGCAAAGACACGTTGAGACCTGCAAAACCTGCTTGATCGTGGAGATATAATTAGATGCCACCCTTGATAGGCAAGATAATGGAGGCATTGGAGCTCACTGTGAATAAGGAAACCTGTTATTCATTGAGCATTAGCTGTGTCAGATCTTAGTACATACATCGCCATTTAGTTCGTGCATTCCTCTATGAAGTAGGTACTATTAGCTTCATTATACACATAAGGAAACTGAGGCTCAACGAGGTAGTAGAATAAACTGATGCCAGAGCTGTAATTGAGTCTTAGTTGGGAAGTTAAGTGAAAGTGCTGGAATTTTGTTATCGCCTTGCTTTGTATTTGTAATTCCTGTAATTGACTAAAATGTAGTCAATTAAAACCGAGACCATCCATCAAGTGGTCTCAGTCTCTAGTGCTTTTCCTTCCTGGTACCCCAGAATCTGGACTTGGCCAAGTTCTATGTAAATTTCAGCCATACACTAGTGGTGACAGCTACTGCCAGAATGCTAGTTTGGTCCCATTTTTGTCATTAGAGTGATCTTTGAAACGCTCCTATCTTTTGGTTTAGTCAAGGTTGATTGCGTTGGAGGTAATTTTGTTCACTCACAATAAGCACATGGTCTTATTTTTAACAGAATGGGTCTCAGACTGAGTAGTAAGAAACATTTTTACTTTGTAATAATAGCACTTAGGTATAAGAAGACCATCGTTTCTGTGTAGGGTTTTCGAACCCAGTAGTGGTATTAGAGAGAGAAACTGTTTTCAGGGCTACTGCTCAGTGACCCATCCTTTCATTAGTCTCTTCAGGTACCAAACTAATGTCTAGCCAGGAAAGCCACGAGGGTATGACATTTTGAGGGTCATGCTTCTGGCTCTTCAACAGATGTTGTGCACAGAATCAGAGGATTTGAACAGTGAAAGAGACTTTACTGTGGTTTGCAGTGCTGCCCCATCTGATTTGTAATTATATTTTTTAAACCCTTCAGCAGCTTACTTGTGCTAGTCTGATGAAGTTTCAATTTTCCAACATGCCCTATATACTTTGTCACTCCATGCTTTGCATTTTACATATGAGGCACCCTGAACAGTATCCTAAACTCACTTATTTTCATCTTACATTGTAACCACTTACGTTTATACCTTGTCTCCCTTATTAGATTGTTAGTATCCTGAGGGCAGGAATTATTTTCATGTTTGTATTTTATTTTCCAGAATGTCAAGCATACCGCCTTGTTTCTAGTAAGCACTTAATAAATATAAGAAGCATGGTGTAACATGGCCTTATGGGGATTATATCTATGTCCAAAGCTGCTGAAGGACCATCAGCAGTTGGAGTTTGTATATCTATATGCTAGCACTTTGCCATTGTTCAGTTTATCTCCCCATGCCTGATCTGTTCTCTTGCTTCTCACCAGCATAATCACATCACTCCTGGGGTCCTAAACCTAGCTGTCAAGTAAGTAGCATAAATGAATGAACTAAGCCAAGTATAAGAAAAAGGACAGCAGTGATGATAAATGGGGGTAATTGGGAGTATTGGAAACTTAATTTTTTTTAAAAAAATACATTTCATTTATTTTTTACGCAGGCCGACGCTCTATCCAAATTTAATTTGGAGTAGTCAATGATCATTTCTTGATATGGGCCTTGTTGCCATATCTGATTTTTCAAATGAAGTCAGAAATTCAGATTTTTATATGAAAGCTTTTGATTTTTAAATGTCACCAATTAATTCACCTTGGTTTCGGCATTATTTGTTTTCAGTTTTATGGAAAAGGGCACAGTCAGTTGGCCATATACCCCATAACTAGATTTACCAATCAATAGGATCTTGTCTCACTTTTTTCATTGTAATTGCTTCCCCTTTCTCATTTTATGCTGAATTATTTTAAAATAAATCCCAGATATCATGGATTTCAGTCCTACATACTGCTGCATGAATTTCTTAAAACTATGAACAAAGTCACAATGTTATGCAGCTATAATCACACCTCACACGATTTTTAAAAATACATTTTTATTGATTTCAGAGAGGAAGGGAGAGGGAGAGAGATAGAAACCATCAATGATGAGAGAGAATCATTGAACAGCTGCCTCTTGTATGCTTCCTACTGGGGATTGAGCTGGAAACACAGGCATGTGTCCTGACTGGGGATGGAACTGTATGACCTGCTGGTTCATAGGTTGACGCTCAGCCACTTAACTACACTGGCTGGGCCGATGTGGACATTTTGGATGGTGTGGGAGGGCAGGGGATGCCATTATTCTGCCTACTGAGATGGTAGTGCCCTGAAGCCTCCATTATAAAGCTTCCCATTAATTTTTCTCTTATAAATCTATTGATGACTTATATGAATTTATTGTTTCATTAAGGTTATGAAATTATTTTCTAATTCTGTTATTCCTTCCATATTTATTGGCTGGAATTAATCTTACAGAATTTAAGACCACTTGGTTACCCTAAAATTTATAATTCATATAGGAAAGGCAGGCAAATGCAGGCTTCATTTCTTTTTTCTTTTTTTTAAATCCTCACCCAAGGATATTTCTTTTTTAGAGAGAATGGAAGGGGGGTGGGGAGAAAAAGAGAGAAAAACATTGATGTGAGAGAGACACATCAATTGGTTGCCTCTCACTTGCTCCCCCTCCCCCCCCACCAGGCCTAGGGATCTAACCTGCAACTGAGGAATTGAACCCAAGATCTTTCAGTCCACTGGCTGGATGCTCTAACCACAGGGCAGAATTCAGTTTTTTTTTAATGACAATTTTCAGAGTAAAGCATTTTGCCCTTGTCATTTCCATTGTAGTCCAGAGGGTTAACTATTATTCTGAAATTATTTTTTGTTGTTTGTTTCAGTTTTGTTGTTGGTTTAGTCAGTTGCATTCGTTCCTTATGCTCACATGTCTCTGGCTCTGTTATCCTTTTGACACCATCCCATTAGGTTTTGATAGCTTCTCTGTTTTGTAGGACAGTAAGGTGTCCTAGCCACATCTTTTGTATGTCCAACCCCTGATCTGGAAGCAACTCCTCCAAGGAGTTCTGGTTCCTTTCTGTGAGGAGTGGTATTTTAGAGACCACAGCTAGGTATTATCTTAAAATTTTTAATATACTGTGTAGGCCACGGAATACATTTGTGGGTTTGATCCAGCTCTTTATCACAGTTTGCAACCTTTTTCATAGTTTCTGTTCACTCAGTTGTGCTTTCTCTTAAATTTTGACCACTTGTGGGCCAGACTCTGCCTCAATGATTCAACTTCTGAAATGCAGCTCCTGAGCGTAAAAATTTGATTGATTCGGCTCCTTTTAAGCCAGGCCACATTCTGGATCTTCTCTTTGGTCATATGTCCGTCTCTGGTTCAAGCAGCAATAGTTTGGGTTGAAGTTAGGAGAACAAGAGACTTTGTGTAGTGCAAAATCTGGTCAACTGGGGTTGGCATTTTGCTGTTGCCCTGAATGAAGCAGTCTCTCTCAGAAGAATGTAGTGCCTTGATTGAGCTGTCTAATTCACTTTCTTCTTGTCAAAGAGTACCTTAATGTCCAATAAATACATCAGTATCATCATGTCACTCTATGTTGTACTGTGTGTCTACCCATCTCCTCAGATAGACTAAAAGCTCCCTGAGCAGAGACTATCTCATTCATCATTGAAATGCTTGTGTCTAATACAGTGCCTGGCATATAGTACGGCTTCAGTATAAGGGATAAATGAATAGCCATTGGCCTAGCCTCACCTCTGATCTTTCCTTCTCCCTTCCTCTTCACTTCCTCCTCCCACTCCCAACTCTCACTGTACTGAACACCTTGCAGTTCTTTAAATACAGTCTTCCCTTAACTTGGACCAGTCTTTGCCCGTACTGCCCTCCTGTTTGCTCCCATTACATCCTGTTCGACCAGGCACTTTTCATGGAATATGGTGCTTAATTTTGTGAACTCCTTAATGTCTTATATACCTTTGAGTCCTCAGTTTAATGTACTATATAAGTATTATTGTACAACTAAGTTAAATATCTTAATGTTACTGAGAAGCAGTGGAAAGAGACTGGACCTAGAATCAGACAGTTTCGGGTTTAAATCCCAGCAGTTCCACCATTTATAGGGTGCATGGTCTTGGGGGAATGACTTAACTCTTCCTTGGGCCCTTATCTATAAAATGAGGATGATATAATAGATCTCTAAGAATTGTTAGAAGGACTTATTGGAATGTATTCTTTATTGCACAGGGCTCCTTTTGGTAGGCCATAGATATTAGTACTCTTTCTTCTCTCTTGAATGACAATTGACTTGCTAATCTGACTTCCCGGTCATATATCATTGTAGCGACCAGTTAAGAATAGTTTAATGAGCCGAGACCAGTTCGGCTCAATGGATAGAGTGTCGGTTTGGGGACTGAAAGGTCCCGGGTTCGATTCCGGTCAAGGGCATGTACCTTGGTTGTGGGCATATCCCCAGTTGCGGGGGTGCAAGAAGCAGCTGATCAGTGACTCTCTCTCATTGATGTTTCTGGCTCTCTATCCCTCTCTCTTCCTCTCTGTACAAAATCAATAAAATATATTTTAAAAAAAAGAATAGTTTAATGAGAGGAATTCTGAGTATTTTGTTGGTGATTCTTCCATTCATTCAGTAAATATTTATTAGGTCTAGTATT